CTCCAATATGGAAAGTCAAGAGTTACTCTTCAGATCTATTTGCAAGATTATCCACCAGCAACCAAAGGCACTGAGAGGAGTTACAGAGAAGAGACTACATGCTTACTGGTTTTTTAAAAAAAATCCAAAGAAATGCAATAAAAACACCTGGAGGAAAAAAATCCACGTGTCCATCAGTAGTAAATATGTGGACTTTGCAACACGCTCTAATCCAGAGCAATTTACAACGAGGCGAGTAGTATAAGTCTCACTTTGAGACAATCCCAACATGGAGCAGCTGATCACAAAATAAGCTCCACTCAAAGGTGTCCACGATGTAGTCCACGTATCTTTGAACAACTCAGGTTCATTGTTATGCCCCCTTGTCCACATTTTTTTTACAAGCAAGTTGAACATTTTTCAACTTTTCACACTATGCCGGAATGTCACCGTAGAATTTGGAGGAAAAGCTTGATGTTGGATGTCTCTGTCAGATGGAAACTATCACAACAAGTAGCAAAATGCCAGTTGCTGGAGCAGATCGGTCAGGTGGACCCTGCCTGTTGCTGTCGATGAGACTTTTATTGTCCTCTTCCCTCGTTAAATGTCCGTCAGACTGAGCGGTGAAGCTCATTCAGACAAAGTGTGAGAGCAGGAATCTACTGGTTGGTGCTCAAATAGATAGTAGCAGTTATTGTCCGTCTTATAACAGCGAAGATACTTGTGGAGAGATCTTTGCCATAAGAAATATTAAAAAGTTGGGAGTGCTCAGAAAAAGGTGTGGACACGGGCCCTTATTGAACATTTAGCCAGGTACAGAGCTGTAGTGGTTGTTGCATTGTTCGTACATCAGTCCAAAAACGATACAAAGCAGGGTTGAGCGTCCGGTTTCTTGATCAAGGACAAGTTTGTACGTCCATAGGCAACGTTTCTTCTTTTATCCCACCCTTGTGATTGAGCTGTCACCGTCCAGCGGAGGACTTCCTGTTGATGTTGGCCAGGCTGTGTGCCAGTCTCTTGGTGAGGAGCGGGTGGGATTTACCGCAGTAAGTGTGTGTCGTCGTCAACAGCTGCTCTTCCAACGGATCCAACAAAGAAGTCACTGGGTCGGCGCCGAAAGGGTACTGCAACGAGAAAGTGATTTGTGGTTTAGATTTGGTGTGATGTTTAGTTTTTACATTGATCCAAGCATAATTTACCAAAGCACTCTTTATTAGTCTAGACTAAAATGGTATGGAGACTTTTCAAAGTATCATCCTTTCTCCCCTGAGGACTTCTCTCAACCTCCTCTTGTTCTCCAGGATTTGATCAGAGTTGCTTTGGGCAGCATTTGTGCTTTCCCTGGATAGATTACAAATCTGCAAGCCATGCTGATCTCATAGTAGATTCCAGATTAAACTAGGGCTGCACGATTTGGGGAAATAATCTAATTGCGGTTTTTCGGACAGATATTGCGATTCGATTTGCGATATTTGTTTTTAAGCGACCCAACGGAAGTTTATTATAAAATGCGGCCATATCTCCGGCTAGGAAGGTCGCATCAACGTGCTCCCGTCTCTAGCACCCCCGCAGCCCGAGCTACGAGTGAAAGAACTAAATTTACATGAAACTTCCGTTGGGTTGCTTTAAAGTCAAGCTTCAGTTTAAGACTCACCCTGTAATAGAAACATGTGATGGAGCATTACTAACCTGACTCAGATGGTTTCACCAAACCATCTAGGAAAGCTCCATTGGAAGCCATTTGGAAAGGGCAGGCACTTTCAAAAATACTTGGCAGGTGATTGGATCAATCTGTCTATCACCTTCTATCATGGGCCACTTCTGATTGGTTAACAATGACTGGTACATGTGGAGCACAGCACTTCTGATTGGTGTGGATGACTGACACACAAGAAGAACAAAACAAAAAGTTGCAGGCTTTGCGACTTGATAATTGCATCATTTAAAAATCGCGATTTCGATTTTAAAAAAACGATTAACCGCTCAGCCCTAGATTAAACTGATCGCTCAGACCGGGGGGAGCATAAAGCGTCCGACTGTTGGAGTCACTTTTTATGCTATAGGCTTAGCGTCCAGTGGTACCCGGGGATTACAGGAGAGGCTTCACGTCTTCTCGATAATGAAGGAGGCTTTACAGCGCTCCGAGGAAATCAAAGGGGAATTAGCATTCTTTATGCCGGCTCATTTGCTTGTGGTTAGCTCTCTGATATTGGGCCACAAAGAAAATTGTGTTTTTATGAGCAGATACTTTCACACACACACACACACACACACACGGGCTGGTCATAAAGTTGCATTTACAGTTGCTGTATTGATTTTGTGCGGCTGATGGGGCGCTGTCGGTGTGCAGCCTCAGACTCTAAACGCACCATCGGCTGTAAAATTTAACTGCGGTTTCCTGGGCTCAGCTTTTTTCCATCGAGGGAGGGGAGGAGGGTTTATGAGGGATGGCCCGCTGAGGTCTGTGTGAGACAGACAGGCAGACAGAAAGGGAGGAGCTGCTTGTATCCCCATCTCTTTGTTTGAAGAAACAAGAGAATGGACACTGATTTAGGACTTGTCTCAGCTAATATATAAACTCAACTTAGAGGTGGAATAATGACCTTATAGGGGAAAGTGCTAAACATAAACAACTTTTCTGATCAAAACGTAATAATTTAACATATTTTAGGCAAAAACGCCATAAGTCTGCTTGTCCCGGTCTTTTACGTTTTTTTCTCCAATTTACATTATTGTAACAAGAATGTGTTCAGGTTTTGGACAAATGGACAAACAAAATTCATCAGTTTACACAAAATCTATGACATTCATCAGTTTTGTATTGCAGGGGCATGACTGTATCTTTCATTTTTCGATAAGTGCATTCGACCAACAAGATACAAACTTGAAGAAAACAGAATCATAGAAGTACATCAGGTTTCATAGAGCCAAACATTTCAAGTGCTACTCAACTAGCTTTAGATAAGCCAGTCCTTTATTAGTATATAAGTGCTTTGTTAGTAATTCTATCTCTCGAAGTGGAGTCGAAAGAGATGAGTTTTCAGTCTGCGCCGGAAGATGTGTAAGCTTTCTGCTGTCCTGATGTCAATGGGGAGCTCATTCTACCATTTTGGAGCCAGGATAGCAAACCAACATGTTTTACTAATATTGTGATTTTGGTGAACAGAAAGCTAGCTTGTAGCGTCTTAACTCAGATAGGATGTCAACTTTAACAAACATGAAAAGGAACGGAAAATAAATTCATGAATGACTTGCTGTCACTATCACACGTCCTTTTGCTCTCATGCTTTTTTTAGCTGCCAATGTAGCACTGTCCTGTTTGTTGTTATTCCCTCCCAACACTTCACAGATAGCCTGAGGACCTGCTGCAGATGAACAAGAAGTGGATGAAATGATCTGTCCAGTGAACTGAAACACACAGAACATCAATCCAGACTCCTGGCCAAAACAGACTTAATCACATATCTATGAAAGTGTCAATACAGATGAGAGAACCAGTGTTTTAGTGCAGCACAGGTACATGTGTGTGTCCTGCTCTAATTGATCCTCTCCTATAAAGCCACAGGTTTAACTGCAGGCCATGGATAAGGTATGGATCAGCCATCTCCGTGATGCACAGTCAATGCTTTGTTAATAGGAAAGCAATGACACTTCCACCGTTGATGGCTTCATTAAGTAAATGCCACCGGTGTCGTCAATATCATTACACTGCTGGTAAACAACCCATAAACATCCCCCTGGGGGAAATTAGCTTTCCAGCGCAGACAGTCCAAAGTCACTATGGTGTCTCGGGTCAGCACCAATCCAAAATCTCATCTAGCAGGGTGAAGGAACGGGGCAGTGGAGCGGAGCAGGGGCCACTGAGGTCAGTAAACAGCTCCTTTCATCAAATGCTGCACTAAAATACACCACGGTAACTTTGGAGCAACTTGGACTTTGTACTCTGATGAATTTGGTCATGCAGTTACACACCAGCCATAACTTAGTTTGAATGAAAACTCAACTTCTGGCACGTGTCCCTGGTGTTTCCACCACTGAAAAAAAGGTTTCTATGGAGAGAGCGGTGCCGCCCAACGTTCATTCATATTGAAGAGTGCTGCGCTCCGGTTTCAATTATTTTGACTTTAACCTTGCTGACAACCTTTTAATGCACAACCAATCAGATGATAGCTTTGTGAAGCAACGCAAGCTACTAGGGAGGTAACCAGAAACAAAAGGTAGCTAGCTGTTTTAACCCCAGTCACGATGAAAAAACATTATTATAAGATGAATGGAAAACCCAGGGAATCTGAGGGCAAACATAAATACCATTCAAGCTGATAAACCTCGATCAGCTGCTTTAAAGTATTTGTTCTCGTTCATGCCCACCTTTCGTATGGCTTCGTAAACGGCCCTGAAGGCAGGTTGCTTGTGGTCGTGGTACACCCCTCTGTTTCCGTGCAGTATGTTGATACCATCCTCCTCAGCTGACGCACAGTTACTGCCATAGATGCAGTGATCTGGGCGGTAATTCCACATGCAGGGAAACTCCAGCAAACACTCTGTGAACACACACACACATACACACACACACTTTAGCCAACAAATCAGTGCCAGTCTCAGTTTAATATACATTACTGAGGGCACTACTGACTTAAACGGGACATTCAACATCAAATAATTCCTCTTCAATTTGTCTTTATGGCTAAATATGATGATGTATGAACATGTAGAGTTGTGTATAATAATAATAATACACATGCTTGGAGTGCAGCCTTACCAGGGTTGTGGTGGAAAATGATATTGAGAAGGTCTTGGTCCCCCCAGGTAATGTTGAGTTTGTATTTCTGAAGTAGAGGCATCAGCAGCTCCTCCCAGCGCAGCCCCACAGACGTCATGTCATTCTGTAAACACAATTTATTACACGGCTTAGTTGAATACTTGATTTTGGTCAATTGGGACGTTTCAGAAGTTATGAATACTCGATAACACACCGCTGCTAAGGAGGATCAAGGTAGAGTGGGAAAGAGGTTAAAAGACAGAGCGCTGGGCGTCAGAGAAATCAACAGAAGAAGGCAGAGAGGAAGTCAACACTAACGGCCCGTCTACACTACAGGCATCGAAAAATGCTTTCAACGCTTCGCCCATTCACTTGAATGGGGTGACGTAGAAGATTTTTTATCTTCGCCGAACTGCATTGTGGGGAGCATGGCATGGCTTTGCAAGCATCACGAGCATCTATCGGCATCAAAAGTTGAACAATGTTCAACTTTTGAGGCTCGATGCTTGGCATCAGCCAATCAAATCCCGTTTATGCAATTCCCGCCAGTCAGCGCTAGCCGAATCAAACCATGTGTATGCTGAATACCGCAGGTCTTTGACTATTTCCATAGTCATAAAATGGGGATAAATTAATCATTGCCGTGGCAAGTGGTCCCAGTCTGTATGACTGACTTCTGTTCCACCTACCGGGACCTAAAACCGGAGAACCAGGGCATGGCGGGAGGTGGGCAGAGACAGTTGGTGAACCCTGGTAGGTTTTCAACCTGTTGGGGCGAGTTTATATCCAGTTTATCTCGTTGAAGAAGTCGGGCTTTTTTTTGCTTTGTATGCGGGGGCAGGGCGGGAGTTCCTGATTGGTTGTTGGTTGCTTGGGGCGGACGAATCGCCAAGCCTCAGAACACGCCCAGCGCTTCAAGATTTTTTGAATGCCTGTAGTGTTAGACGGCCGTAACAGGAACATGGATGTGCTGCTCTGGCATTGTTCGAAGGCGACTGTGGAAAGAAATAATGAACAGACTTGAACATAATAAGTCAACTATTGATCAGAGCTGCGTTCATGTATAAATTGAGTTTTTGTTGCCCGCAGTTCCAGCCGCCTCCGCCTGCACATCAATTAAAATAGTTCTTTAGTGTGTGATCATTAATGCCAATGGTAAGTGAAAGGCCTCAGCATTAAAATGCTTATCACAGCAGGAGAGGACACATCTAGTGGCAAAACAAAGAAGCACGGGAAGACAAATCTCTTCTTGAAAATCGTCTTGGAGCCACCTTGGAAAACATGCTCCCTCCATCCTGGTCATGTTCATAGCATTAGACCCCTGAGTTGATGCCCGTCTTGCCGTAGTAGGGGTGGCGGGCGAAGCGGGTTGTACCAGCGATGCGGCCTCCTCGTGCCTCAGGGGCCATGGGCAGCCCAGCGGGAGGAGTTAAAGCGGGTCAGGAAGGCCCAAAGGCGGTCCACGGGCTCAGGAAGAGGATGTCCCGAGTCACG